TGTTTTGGTCACTACAAATGAAGCTGAACATGTCCCAAACTCTGGTTAAAAAAAAATACTCACTTTGGTTGCTACAAACACGGCCGGACATGTCCTGAACGCTTAATAAAAAACACCCACTTTTAGTCACTTAAAAAAAAAAAAAACGCCTGGAAATGTCCCCACCTGTCGTTATAAAACGCTTGCTTTTGTTGCTACAAACTCAGCTAGACATGTCCAGGACTCTTGTAAAAAAGGACCTGCTTTGGTCATTGCAAACGAATTTGTACATGTCCTAAACTCTTGTTTAAAAAAGCACTTTTGTCGCTACAGACACTGCTGGACGTGTCCTGAACACTCATTAAAAAAACACCCACTTTTAGTTGCTACAAAAATGGCTGGAAATTTCCCAAACTCCCAAAAAATTTTGTCGTAAAACAAATACCAGAAGGACATGTCCTGGACTGTCGTTAAAAAGAACCTGCTGGCTGCTACAAACAAGGATGGACATAACCAGAATTCTCACTAAAAAAACACACCCACTGTTGGTGCTACAAACACAGCTGGAAATGTCCTGACCTCCAGATAAAAAAAAAAAAAAAAAAATTCGTCACTACAAACATGGCAGGACACAGGAAAATTTGTTTAGTCACTATAAACACAACCAGTAATGTCCCAAACGCTTGCTGAAAAACACCCAATTTTCTCGACACAAACATGGCTGGACATATCCTGAGCTCTTGTACAAAAATACCCACTGTCATTCAAACACAGCTGGACATGTCCCGAATTGTCATTAAAATATACCAACTTTTGTCTCTACAAAAATGGCTGGAAATGTCCCGACCTCTTCTTAAAACAAGATCCAATTCGGTTGCAACAAACATGGCAGGACACGTCCCAAACGCTTGTTTAAAAATGATCCATTTAGTCACTATATTACCACAGCTGGTAATGTCCCAAACCTTTGTTGAAAAATACCCACTTTTGTCACCACAAACACAGCAGGTATGTCCTGAACTGTCGTTAAAAAGTATCCCCTGGACTTGATGGACATGATTTCCATCATGTTTTCCACGTCATTTTCCATTGTTTGAGTTTTGACTGGCGCTCCTTTAATTCTATCATCTCATTTTGCCCTTTTAATGGAGCCACCAATTGTCACCCAACTTCTGATATTCACAAAACAGTAGTGGATGGACAAGCACATTCATTTGCATTTTCTTTTGTAGATTTTCTTGTGAAAATTCATGTGATTTTTGATGGAAATTTAGGACACTGTTGATGGAAAATTGCTTCATCGTTTTCTCTGATACAGATAATTGCTCATAAACTGTTTTGAGGTGGTTTGTGTGAAAAATTGGGGGGAGAGTACAAAGATGTCTGCACATTAATTTAGGTGATTTTCCTTTTCTATGTTAGCTTCTTTCTTCCATGTATTTATCAGCACTGGAGCTAGTCAAAGTGTTGACACAACCAGATTCAAGGTTGTCTAAAAAGTGTGTTATTGATTGAAAAGAAAAAGAAAAAATAACTTGAGCAAAGCAAATGAAACCAAACCGAGCAAGCGCCTGCAGCCAGTTTATATGGAGTAGTGAGGCAGAGTGAGTCCAGGTGAGCTGGATCTGAGGGTAATCAGGCAGATTCAGCTCATCTGGAGAGGCTGGGGAAACCTGTAGACTGCAAGGCATGGTGGTGATACAACATAATACAAGCAAATACACTAGGCAACTGAAAACAGAGTACACTTTCAGGGTATATACGCTTATAACTTGGGGTTTCCCAATTACTAGCTCCCATTTACACTCTCTAATCTTTCTTTGGTTAGTAGAAGAAAGGTCTCTATTCTTGAAAGATCATCATATTTTTTTACAAACCCATTTCTCATATGTTCGTTTAGTCTCCAGCAGAGTTGGCATCGCTCCTGTTTCTTTCTCTTTCCTTTTTATGAGACAAAATGAGAGATGGGAATATGAAGACACAGTATCATTTGGGTAAAATCCCAGCTCATTAGTGGAGTGGGCCAACGATGCAGCAGCATTAACTCAATGGGATATCCCAGCATGGTCGGATTAGCCAAGTGATTTCAGCCCAAACATCCTGAGTGTTTGACAAACTGCAGATGTTTTTAAAGCACATCTGTAATTCACACTTTTTATGTTGTAGTTTTGTTGTTTCATGTTTTTCAAATCTCAGATATTAGTGGGTATTTTAAGGGGGAACAATTAAAAACACTTCCTTTGTGGCTTCGGAGGGAGCTTCATTATGTCTGAGAAAGTCACACTGATGACATCATAGTGATGTCATCAGAGATTTGGTCTAAGAGCCTGAGTTACAAGCTTAAAGTATGGAGCTTGAAAGAAATAAGTGAGATAGGGTAAGGAGTTCGTACATCCGGAGGGAGCTCGGAGTAGAACCGCTGCTCCTTCGCATTGAAAGGGGTCAGTTGAGGTGGTTTGCGTATCTGATCAGGATGCCTCCTTGTTACCTCCTGTTAGAAGTGCTCCAGGTACATCCAGCTGGTAGGAGGCCCCGGACCGAGAACATCCTGGAAAGTGTTGCTGGGGAGAGGGACGTCTGGAGAGGTCTGCTCAGTCTGCTTCCCCTGCGACCCAACCTCGGATAAGCAGTCGAAAGTGCGATGGAAGACGCCAGGGAAGGCCTAACGAAACACACTGTCACGTTGCAGTATGGGAAATGTAGTATATGTTATATTGTCGGATACTAACAATCCGAGCATATCTGTGTAAAAAAAATGCACTTTTAGTGGACATATTTTGATGTTGTTTGACGCTGTCTGAGTGCCCTATTATTTAATATAGCGCGCGCTCACGGGCTGCAGGCAGGTCAGCCCTAGCTTCGTACTGGAGAAATGTCAAATATTGAACATCCTATCACTCATTTAGACAAAAGTAGATCGGAAAATAGGGCCCAGGTTGAAAAACACATTAGTTCCCCTATAAAAAAAAAAAAAAAAAAGATTCCTACCAAACCACACCTGCCAATCATATCACTGCACTAATATAAAGGAAGCGCACAATTACACATGGACAAGAGACTTGTGCTTCTGACAGCGCAAGATTAATGAGGTTTTTTTGGAGGTAATGAGGTAACTGCAGCGTTCACTAGCTCAGTAGTGTTAGGTTATAGTTGGCTGGTGTAGTTCAGTAGAAACATGTTTTCCACATCATTTTCCATTGTCATCTCATGCCATTTTAATGACACCCTGCAGCAGAATAAGGCTCTCATTTTCACATATCATATTTCATTTTCTTTTGCAGATTTTCTTGTAATTCTGTGAAGATTCACATGAATTTAGAGGGGAATTTGGGAAACTGTAAATAGAAAATTGCTTAACCATTTTTTCTCATTAAAATAACTGCTCAAAAGCTGTTTTGAGGTGGTTTGTTCAGTCGGACATGTTTGTTGAACAACAGACAAATATCGAGGGGAGATTACAGAGATGACACATTCATTTCGTCTGCTTTTCCTACCTCCATGTGTTCATCTACACTGGAACTAGTCAAAGTGTTGTCACAGACAGACTCAAGGTTGTCTAAAGGGTTTGGTAATTTACTGATTGAAAAGAAAAAGAAAAAATAACCGAACCAAGCAACTGTGTGCAGCCAGCTGAGCCAGAGTGAGTCCAGGTGAGCTGAATCTCCCTGATTACCCTCCAAGCTCCTGCAGGGAGAGGCTGGGGAACCTGTTGATTGCAAGACACAGTGGTGATTTAAAATAATAATTAAAAAAAAGCACGAGTCTCTTGTCCATGCGTAGACGCACGCTTCATTCTGTGTGGTGATACGACTAGCAGGTGTTGTTTAGTAGAAAGAAAATAGTTCCTACTTGAAACAAAACATTTTGAGTAGTGCGGTCATGATTTCTGGAAAGACACATTTTTTTCATATGTATTTTTTGGCGCTTTGAGCACCACAAGCCGAGTGCCATCTAGTTACATTATATTGGAAAGAAGGCAGATGTCTGTACGGCCGATATCTCCAACACTCGGCAACTCACACCAAAACAATCTAGAATGATGAATAGCACTACAGGTAAGAGGAAAAATATGTGCTTTTGATTTTGGGGTGAACTGTCCCTTTAATGTAGTAAAAATCTACTTTATTTATTTGGCACTTTTTTGACCCTTCACATAAAAAGAATGACCTCGTTATAATGTCTGTTGCCATGACAGCTGATAACGTCCAACTGGCCTTATTTTGCTCACTGTTCTGTATCTCTATGTACTGTAAATATCAATTGCTGGTTCCCATGCCAGTGGTTTGGGTTTTCCATTACAGTAATTCTGTCTCTCTGCTGCAGCTGGTTATGTAAAGGCTCATGGGTTGATGCTCTAATTATTAATACTGGAAATGTTGCACCACTTGTGAACCTATAGCTCTACATCCACCCTCGGGCAACCTGCTGCGTCTAATTTAAACCCAGAGCCATCAATGTACAAAATGGAGGCATGACCTTTCATATTCCTGACGCTGTTTTGTCACTTGAGCGACATCTGATCGCTTTAAGTTGTTTCTTTTTATTGTCTTTTAAAGATAACCAAGTCAGTGTTAACACAGACTTCACCCAGTGTTGAGTTTCTTAGCGTCCTGGGCCGTCCTTTACCACAACTAGGGGTCATGCCCTGTTGTCGGGGGTGGAGCGGAGGCAGTCGGGGGGTTAGGAGAGGTTGGAAGCAACTGGCCGGAATTGTGTGTTAATTGAATGCCGGTTTAGATCACACACATGACTGAACATGGCATTATGATGGAGCGAGTTCATGTTAACCAATCACACGTATCCTGTGATATCACACATACACACAGCAGAGTTGTTGCTTTCATAATGTATGACAAGAAGATGGTAACGGGACACACAGACATGTGGAGTATTTTTGTTTTCTGGGTACAAAGCATGAGATTCGTCCACTGAATGGAGAGGCTGATCGAACTTGTATTGAATGTTTATCCTGACTGGTCAGAAACCAGTCTGGACTGGGTCAACCAGACACACAGCACATGGATATTTAACATACAGATACTTTTAATGAGATTCATGAGGTTCGTCACCATTGTCTGCAGGTATCAACACGTGTAATGAATTGAAGATAATGTGCACAACAAAAATCTGTTCCATTTGGCATATCAATAAAAAAAGCAAAACAATAATCTCATTGACAAACAAAGTAAATTGTGCATTGTACAAACATTTAATATGCATGATAGCACCATTGCATTAACATAAAAAATTCAGCAAGGCATATTCAAATTTAGCCTCAAAATTAACATTGTAGGATGTCACAGTTTGTCTGCATTATACATTTGATCACACAGCTACTCAATGAATGTTTTAAAGGGGGAATCCATTGTTGTAGGGGAGAGCGGGGTCAGCTGGGACATTTTTGTATCAACACGAAATAACCTTCCATTACTTGCAGACTGCTTAAAAAGTAATGGAAATAATAACAGACTCTTGTACTGATAGTAAACACTATGATGGTTTTTTTGGTGGGTAGGGCTTAGCTTGAGGCAAAACAATTCTCTGCAGACATTAGCAAGCTAGCTAGCAAGTTCTGTTGGCTTGTTTTCAGCAATGGAGTAAGATGATGCAAGTGGTGCGTTCAGAAATACTCATTCTGACTTATTTACTGCATTGAAAGACATTTCACAGCGATAAATGTTTCCATGGAGAATTCCATGGATGTTTGTTTGGACTCAAGCTTGTGATCGATGTTATTCACTTCACCTGTCAGTGGTTTCAGTGTTGTGGCTGACTGGTGTATTCTCTCTGGTCTTGCACTAATTATGTCGTTGAAGTGTGTTTTTAAAAAAAAGATGAGTCCACATTTTGAGATAAAAGCAACAGTCGCTCCTCTCCTTCCCCATCGATGTTGTAAAATGAAAAAAACTCACTCAGCGCAGATAGAAATGCCAGGAGAGAGGCAAACAGGAAGAGGCAAAGATAAGGGGCAGCAAAACATCTGTGAGCTTCAGTAATTTAAGGTAGAAAATAATAAAAACATGAGGAAATGGACATTAAATTTGATGAATCAAGTCGCAGGTGTATCTCACCCAGCAGAGGAGCGGCGTGATGAACAACCAGCAGTACTTCAGCACAGGAAATGGTTTGTACCCGATCATGTCCTCAGTGTTGTCATAGAAACGGTCCGCACCTGCAAGTCAAGGATGGGGGGAGTCATTAGTCTTGCATAACCATACCTATCTTCACACTTTGTTTTAGCACTGTGCCAGCTCTGGAGATAAGTCTGGCTGAACCTGCGACGAGTGTATTTAGGACCTAAATGTAGCACTGTGGAAGTCAGCGACAGTTGGTAAGGACCTTTATTTAAACACAGGCAAAACTGGAACTTGAGCAGATGAAGACACACAGGTAACAGTTTGTTCTTTTGACTGATGAAAGATGAGCAAGGGGGAGACCAGTGCCAGGCAGAGGATACAGAACTAGGCACACAAGCAGACAGGGCAGAGGTGCTGACAGGGAATGAGCAGGAGGTACAGTAAGTAAGTAGAGTAAGTAGAGACCAGGCGAGGGACTGAGGAGCCAAAAGGTAGGTGAACAGAGAACAGACACATGCAGCCTCTGAGTCTCTGAGCAGTAGCTGACAAGAGGTAAGCAGATGGGAACACTCACACTGGCTACAATTACATGATGGCTTCTCATTCGGAATGAAATAAATCTGAATGAAATCATTCGGAATTAAAGTCTTTCCAGGTAGTTTACATGGGAAATATTCATTCCGAATAAAGGTTTACACGGGAGATCAGTTTAATCGCCTTTATTCAGGTCTGCGCAAGGTTTGGGGCAGGGAAGGTTTCTGATTGGATAAGGGGCGGGGCGGATGTTACGTGTTTACGTTTACCTGAAGAAAACACTGTAGTCCTCGCTCTGGATAACAAGATACTTGACGACGCTGTTCTTAGTGCCTTTTTCGGGCGTGTTTTGCTTATATTCTTGAAGCAGCAGTACGACAACAACCTTGTTCTGCTAATGCTTCATCTGTTGAGGAGGAGAAGGGAGGTAGAAGGTCGAAGAAGGGAGATAGAAGACCGTGCTGTGGCTAATGGAAACCGGTGAGTGCAACGAGTCCGACTGCTCTATCTCAGCCCGTTGCTATGCAGCCCGTTGCTATGCGCGCTATATATGTCATCGCACTAGAAGGGCAAGGAAACGAGCATGTGCAGAAAGACCGGAATGAACTTAAAGAGGAATGAGTGTATACATGCACATAAAATTCTTTCATTCGGAATGACAAACGGAATAAACCACCCCCTTTAATCGGATTTAATTTTCAATCGGAATGACCGTTTACATGACCACTTTTAATCGGAATGGCCTTTCATTCCGATTAAAGTGAAATTAAACTGTGCATGTAAATGTACTGACTGTGGCGTTGACAAAAGGCAACGTAACGCAGCCACAGGAAAACAAGAGACGCTGAGGCAGAACTCTTGGTCAAGGACAGAAGGCTGTTGTGTTTGGCAGGAGTCGGATGAGGAAGGTTGGTCTGAGGCAGGCCCCTTAATAAAGGGGTCTACACAGATTGGCGCACTTTTTTCCGGCACCTCCGCATTAGCATCATTTTCAGCCCCCGAAGTCACAGCTTGGATGCACGTTAATTGTTCCACAGTGCCAGCAAACTTGCGTTACCTTTAACCCCAGCTATCAACCACTCTCAGGCTCACTCATATGAACAACAGAAGAAAAACAACTCTGAATTTGGCTATTAATGAGTTTTTTTTAACTTTTAAACAAATGCTCAAAATAAGGGCTATTCAAGTATTCAGACTGGGAAATTAAAGTACTGGTTCAAATGAGGAGGACAGGAAAAGTGGAGAGACACCAGTCTGAGGTGAGGAGGAGTACATGAGGAGGAGGGGTGAGACGAGAAAGCTACTCACCTTGAGCTGCCAAAGACAGAACAGAAGAGAAGATCTATGGAAGACGAGAGACATTAAAAAACAGGAGGCAGCTGATGTGAGATTGGTGACCCGGCTGATGGAACAACATCCACAGACTACAGGATAAGTAGTCAAACCTATTTTGGAAAGCAGAGACGGCTCCGAAAATGATACAGCAATCAACCTAGAGAGCTAACTACATCTTTATGGAGGAGGAAAACGAGTGGCCTCATTGAAATCCAGGTGAAGAAGTTTCTCCGCACGTAGCAGTCTGAAAACGCAGAGGATGAACGATTGGATAAACAACTCAAAGCAGGGACAGGAAGCAGCTGCAGAATCAGATCAATATCTCACTGTATATCAGTCTAAGATGTGCAGCTGGACCTTCATTCCAGAGAGCAAGCAGTCGTTTTAGGAAAGGAAATTTTCAGAGTCACAGAAATTATATATATATATAAACAGCACACTGTGTATAACGGAGGAACTCTCCACCCACATGTGGAAATTCAGCCAGTAATGCTGCCGATAATGAAGGTGTGGGAAGAGCTAAGAGCTCAGAAGATTTATCCAAAATGATGGCAGAAGAGAGCTGGGATATGGAAATGAAAGATTCACATTTGTGGTACAGGCAGTTGACACATTAGAAGAGAGGAAACAATGAATCGAAATTGCATTAAATACGATGATAATGTAGACTATAGGGAGAGACAGCAAGACAAGGGATGGTAGGAATTAAAATATCCAGAACTACGAAGGTCGGTTGCAGTTTTCTGACTGTGGAGCAGAGGGTGTTGCTTTTGTTTTTCAGTCCAGTAGATGGAGCACTCATCCTCCTGGTCAAAGATAAACTCTATCAATGATGTCAGTCCTCTCAGGTGAGAACAAACTGTTCAGCCGACAGCAGCCAACCCCCAACAACCTCCCCCCTTCTTCCCCCCAAATAAGTGTGTGTGTTGCAAGAATCTACCCACCTCTGTCTGCATGAGACCAGAGGAAAGTCCTCTTAAAAGTCTCTGTGTGTTCAGCTCTCAGTACTTTTGTAGTTTCTAACAGAATCGCTGTGGTTTGGAGTTTAGTTTCTCTCCTGCTTCCTGTTTGTACATTAGATATCTGCTTTATTTTACTATTTCATGTTCGCTATCAGCTGTATTAATGTCCTCAAATGAGACGATAATAAAGGCCCAATGTCCTCAAACGAGACGATAATAAAGGCCCAATGTCCTCAAACGAGACGACAATAAAGTCCCAATGTCCTCAAACGAGACGATAATAAAGGCCCAATGTCTTCAAACGAGACGACAATAAAGTCCCAGTGTCTTCAAACGAGACGATAATAAAGGCCCAGTGTCCTCAAATGAGACGATAATAAAGTCCCAATGTCTTCAAATGAGACGATAATAAAGGCCCAATGTCTTCAAACGAGACGATAATAAAGGCCCAATGTCCTCAAATGAGACGATAATAAAGGCCCAATGTTTTCAAACGAGACGATAATAAAGTCCCAATGTCTTCAAATGAGACAATAATAAAGGCCCTTGGATAGGCGTGAAAGAGTGAATCTGTGTAAAGCACATAACGCATCTAGGCTGTAGTCTTCAAGACCAGCAACTTAAAGTCCTTTGACACAGCAGTTTCTAACCTGTCTGGACCCCTCAAGATGACCTCTGAACCTCTTATCAAAGGTGGATGTAAGTTTTGTTTTGTTTTTTTGTCTAAAGTGTATGGAATTTTATTAGACGTATCTTCAGCAGGTTTTTACCTAACCACAATCTCAGAGGCTGAAAAATGAAGCCAATACGAAAGTGCCAAAAGTTCTTTGAATGACTGCTTGAGGCAAGTCAATCCTCATAGACCCCCATGTTAAAATGCCCAACTTTACAGAAGAAATAAACATGTTTACAGCCTGGTACAAGAAACAGTTTTTCTCTCTATAGCTAATTTCCCTGTTCATGACAGCTGTAAGGGGGTGAATTTTTATATAACTCACCCATTTACATTTCATTAAGGCTTAAAGTTACACATAATTAAGGGTGGACTGGTTAACAGGGTAAAGGTAGAATTAGTTTTAATATACTTCCTCAAACTATACTGGGACTGTGAGAAAAAAAGAGGTACCAAATCTATGGTTGCATAATAGTTTTTGGTATTCATTACAAAATGTGTCATTTGCATATTTAATCATAAAAACTCTTTATCTCTTAAAAATGTTAAATACAAAAAATAATTGTCTGACTGTAAGTAATCAACTGGGGAAATTTAATGGTGATATCTATTAGTTAAAAGTTTCAAAGTGCTCTCCAAAACAGGATAAAACTTTTTTTTTTTTTTTAATCAAGCAGGGAACTAGAGGAAAAGATGCAACAAATAATAACAATTAAAAAAAAATGTAGGAAAAGGACTTGGTGAAGGTGGATGTGTGTACTTTCTATATGCCACTGGCCACAAAAAATCTTTTAACTGTGTGTGAACATAAGACGCCATCTTGTGGACATTGCTGGTTATTGCGCTATTGCCAGAATCTAAAGCCACAATGTATTAGAGCTGCAACCAATTGTTCAATCATCAAAACAGTTGCCCATTATTTTTCTATCAATGGATTCTACTGTTTTAGAATTTTCCAGGCAGAAATGTCCAGTCAATCTCACTCATAAATGGGCCCAACCTCGGAGACATTGCAGTTTTCATAGTTTGTATTGGTCCTAATACCCTCCTGTGTCAGTACAGTGACATGGTGTGGGTGAAATGATGTTAATATTGGAGGGTCTACGTAAACTGATCCAACATAAATGGTGTTTTTTGGTTAGTTTTTGGGGGGTCAATCATTTCAATAAAACACCTTTAAAGAGGATATTCTGATGTATCATACCTGTATTTGAGGTACAACTACCAAACAACCAATTTTTTGCCAAATTCTCCACTTACAGTTTGTGCCACACTGCTTCTATGGGTGTATCCGCATCTAAACTGGGTGTAAATTATCCTGCATATATTTAGTTTCTATAACGTCTTCATTTGTTGTAAGTTTGAGAGTTATGTAGGGGATTGTAGTGCAGGGGAGGTGAAGGGTTGGGGTTGACGTGGAGAGCTGTGTGTGAGCTGGTTCCATTAGCAACTATTCTACTTTATTCACCTGTTCTTTTGGCATCTTCACTCTTAATGTCATCATGTTAGTTTGTTCATTCACTTAAAACAATTCATTTAAATTTAAATGAGCTGCAACAGCAATATGAAACACTGTGCCTTATGATGGTGT